TGCTGGTGGATGTTTGGTAAATAACTGGTGTGGATGGGAGGTTTTGTAAATTGAGTTTTTGACCAATTGGTTAGAGCTTCAAACATTAAATTAAATTATTTTTCGTTTCCACTAAGTTGCAAGACATTTTTACTAATTATTTTGCCTTTGCTTCTACAATAAATAAGTCAAGTCCGAAGTGCGTACAAAGCTAAAAACCACCTGTTACCAGCCACGGCCTTTTTTGAAAATGTTGGTATTTTTTGGAACAGAAGGCTGCGACTGTCTTATATTTTTATAGTTTAAATCAAAAACAGTTTAGACATGATTGTTTTATTTTAAAAAATCAAAGTACATTGATTTCATTAAAAATAATGATGTATTTTTAGTATTAAACGTAGAATCACCAAGTTTCTCCTGAAACATTTTTTCAGGTGAAGCATTGCATCAGTGGGTTAAAAAGCTTCACGTTAGTGGGACGATCCCAGCGCCTGTTCAGACGCCAGAGGCCTGAGGTCAGGGCAGATTCAGACCCCGAGCTCCGTCTGAAGGCGTCGTTACGTAGAAAGTCGGAGTTCCGCTGTATCGTTCCTGTTGGGAGAAAAACAAACACAACAACGTAATAAAGAAATGTCCAAATGATCTTTGAATAAGTCTAAGGAATTGATGCAAATAATAAAATCAGTTCATATTATTCCCTGTAGTCAGAAAGCAGAGAAATTCAGAAGGTGAACTAAAAATGACCTTAATTCTTCATTCACAATATATATATAAAAACAAATGATATATTGCTTTACAAATTAAAATCATTCTTCCGAACAAGAAACTCACTTTATATTTATGAGTTAAGAGGAGAACAAAAGCAGAATCTAAGGAGCAGATGAAGGAAAACATTGGTCCAGCATTTCACCAAATTACCTCATGTGATTTCTTAGTTTTGTGTTTCTCACAAATTAGCAAAAATCTCAAAATATATTTTTGAACATCGACATAGCAAATTTAGATATGTAGAATTAGAGCAAAGAGATTGACTTCATCCCTAAATCATCTAAACTTCTCAGTTCTCACACTAGGAGACGTTTATGAATAGGATTATCTGCTGCAGGTACGGAGAGCCGTAAGTGCCACAATTTCGAAATATTAAGAAGAGTTAACAGGTTTATATTTTTGAAAGTGAAATTTCAACAAGACTTGAAATCTATGCATTAAACAAATTAACTGATATTGTCAAAAATATATTTTTTCATCATTTAAATCATTAATAATTATTAAACACATTTTTAGCTTAATGGCTAAATAATGTTGAATTTATTTTAACTTAAAATAACAATTATTTTTAACAAATCAAAATCATTCTTAGTAGAAGACAGTAAAAATGACCTAGATTAGTAACATGATCTGTTATGTACTTTAGCATACAAAGCCATAAAAAAATAAAATATAAAAATTTCTAGGAATGATGTTTGCTGATGAAGATTGTCAGTCATCCAGGTCATAGTCATTCCAATAAAGTAAAAAACAATCCACTGGACTTTGTTTCCAGGTTTGTAGACATTATGTTTCCCATCCAGGAAGCTTTTTCTATTCAAAATGTCAGAAATAGCGTTTTTCTTGGTTCTTCTTTCTTAAAAAGGAAGCTATTTATGTTAAGAAAAACCAACCTTAAACAGAGGGAGGGGGTAGAATCAGATTTCAGCTTTCAAAAACCTCCAATGCAGCGATAGAGATGATTCCATCCCGCTATCATCGCAGCCCCAACCCCTTTACAGGAGAACAGAAGACCTCACCTATTCAGCCAGGCCAACTATTCTCATCATTGACCCCCTTTCAGAGACATAGACAGGTATGGGGCATTGCAGGCTAACATCGAACCCAAACGACCCCCATTCCAAAGGGGTGGAACCGTTCATCCGTTTCTATTTGCATGTTTTCTAAACAAAAACAAGGCTTTGTTGTGCTACTGTATAAAACCTGGAACTCAACGCTATTTCTGACATTTTGAATTGAAAAATCTTCCTGGATGGAAGAGAAACGTCTTCAAACTTGGAAACAAAGTCCGGTGGAAGTTTTTTTAAAGTCGTAGGGAAGCAGCTGTTCCGACCGTTGCATTTCCGAATTCTCCCAAGTAGGTCCCGACTTTACACGAGTGAATAAAGTGAATATGATTGGTCGTTTATCAAGGAGGCGGGATTGTTGTGGTGGAAGGTTCAGAAGCAATTTTGATTGTGTCCAGTGTCTCAGAAGCATCTTGCTAACCAATTAGCAACTTAGTGCTAGCAGGTTCCCATTGGGAAATTCCATTGGGACCAAGTAGCACTAAATTGGTGAC